AAACCTCACTGCCCCCATGCACACCCACTTCCAGAAGACACTGGAGAAGCACAGCAGCTTCCAAGCAAGGCAGGAAACTGTTATACCCCCCATGCATTGTACACCTTCAATGCAAGCCATGCTGGGTCCCACCAGTGTCAACCCAGCACAATGCTGGTGGCAGCCAGGGGACTGGCTCCTGAGCCATCCAAGCTTGGAGACTGGCCCCAGTTGCCCGAGGAAGTGGTACTGGTTTGGTCACCTCTATGGGTTTATGTTTGCAAGTGGCTTGCCGGGGTACTAGTTGTGCCTGGAAATTAATTCAGGAGAACAAACCCTTTCACATGTTTTCCTGAGCAAATCGATGAGCTAAAGCAAGAGTTAAAGCCTCCCAAACCATCTTCCAACTGCTTAAAGGAAAAGGTTTAATTCTCCAGGTGGTGCAGTGAAATTGGAGGTGAGGAAGGGAAGTTTATGGGAATATAATTCACATGAGGTGGGATCTCCTCCCTGGCACTTTGCGGGTTGAAGAGCTTGCCAACCAAGTAGTGGTGGGAGGATCTCAGCCACGGGCTCCTGCCCTACCTCAGAGGGCAATGCCAGCACCTTGCCTGTGGTCAAAGACCCTGTGAGTGACAGATGGTGGTGGCCTCCTCATCCTGGAAGGGACCCAGGGTTTCATTTTAGGGCAAAAAAAAATTACTGGTGCATGTTGGACCACATGCAATGACTGCAGCTGGTGTCCTAAAAGGCAGAGTCTCTGTCCTTGGGGACTTACCTCGGACCACTCGGACATCTCCCACTGGGGCCCACAGGCTGGGTTCTTGCAGACCTTGCGCTCATCTGGCCGGGTGATGTCAGCCGACTCACAGAGGTCGCTGTAGACGGAGCTGTCAAATCCTGGAGAGATCATCTTCCAGCAGCGGACGATGCGGAACTGGTAGCCCTCCCCACAAGTGCGGGAGCACTCGCTCCAGCTGCTCGTCTCCCACCTGCAGAGGTAAGAGAGGCCGTCACACTGGGCATGGCTGGACCAGAGCATCCCATGGGAAAACCCTGCCTGCTCTCAGCTGGAGGGAGATGGCTGCAATAGGAATGAGCTGTAGCCAGGCTGTCAGTGGGCGATAGGGTCTCCCATGGGATGGGATGTATTAACTTATGGTGGTGTCACCCAGCAGACCTGAGCTCATGCCCGCAGCGGTGGATGCTAAAATCAGATTGCGGAGAGGAAGGAGAGGCTGGCGCAGTGAAGCACAGATCAGTGCCCTCACTGTGTTTGCTGCCTGTGTTTGACAATTCTTTTTTGCCTGATCAGCTAAAGTACAGAGAGGACACAACCATCCATCACCCTGCAAATCCTAGCAATCATGTCACACAAAGCTGTCTGAGCCCTGGTGTGACAGACATTCATGTACCACCATCTGTAACTCTGCGAATGTCATGCGATGGGGATCTGCTCTGTGACACTGCCTGCCCCTTACTGTTCCCTGCCACTATTGCCCTGAACTTATAACAGGGGAGTAATATGTAAAGCAAGGGAAAAGACACAAAAAGTCAAGATTTTTACAGTACAGGAACATGATAGCAATTCTAAATTAAAGAATAAGCTAAAAATGTAAAAATCTAAATGGTTCAGAATTAAGAGCTCCTCTGGACATAGGGCTATCCCGTGCATTCCCTGGGGCCACCCGCTGCTGTCACTGTGAACAAGACAGCTGTGTCCCCCAGCCCCACACAGGGCTCCAGGCACAACGAGCAGCCACAGGGAGATGTCACACATTTAGAGGTGTCACCAAAATTCAGAAGGGAGATGAAACAAAGGGTTCTCCCATCCAGATCAGACAAAATTCTCTTTGCACTTTCTGTTGGAAAAGCATTGTCAGCCCAAGCAGCATCCTGTCTGCCTAAGTGCCAATGAACTTGTGTTTGGCTGCCCTGTGTGAGGTCCTGGCAGCTCCTTGGTTTACCCACTGCAGAGCTGCAGTCCTCAGTAAATCACAGAGCAGCTCTTCTCTCTTACAGTGCAAGCCCATGGAGCTGGAACAGCACAACTATAAGGAAGAGCAGATTTATAAAAGACCAATGGGATAATCTAAGCATGAAAAGAGCCCTAATACTTGTGCTAAAAAATTACAAAATTAATGCAAGTGGATATTAAAGTCCCCATGGTGCCTACAGGGCAGTAGCACCATCCACCTCCCCGCACTTTTCTCTCCTCGATTGCAGCCTGCCCTGGCTTTCAGCCTTAATGTGCAAAGTTCAACAAGATCCTACACTGCAAAGGGCACGTGCTTTCCTCTCCTGTCCTTCTTCACAGTTATCCAAGGTGAAAGCAAGTACTCTCCAAGGACTAGGTGCCATACCTGGTCCCTGCCATCCCTCTAGTCTTGCTTTGTGCTGTTCACACGTGACATCATTCCAGGGCATGCAGCAGACAGCTTTTCTTCTCTCTTTACCCTGTCCGTAGTCTAACACTATCACAGTCCTCCTCCCTTTGATAGACACCAGTCTGTCCTGCCCGTAACTGCTGTTCCTTTGCAAACCTCCCAACAAGCTCACCCCGTGTCACAGACCAGCAGCAGGGATGCCTCGAGCTGCACAGCCTGGCTTTTCGGATAAAGAGCTGCGTCAGAAGGGAAAACTTCTGAAGGACTTCCACCATGGGATCTCCTCTGCACCAGCTCCTGCCCTGATACAAACAATCCTCAGGAGGCTGAAGGGACCAGAGGGATGGATCCGTGGCACAGTTTGCAAGCCCAACCCTCCACCCAGTTCACCAAGGGCAAGACACTGCCTATATGGTTAGAAGCTGGCCTTGATGGGAGCCCCTGGTGCAAACTCCACCAGGATTTACAGAAGTTTTAACCTGGCAGCTTGAGCTAAAGCACTCGGGAGGAAAGTCTTACTGCATCCCAGTACAGCCCAGGCAGATGTGACAAGGGGAGGAGGGACAGGGTGCTGTGGGTCATCCCTGCTGCCGCCCCCCACTAAATCCACACCGACCCCCTCCCCTAAATACATCCACGGCAGAGAAAGAGCAAATCCCCCTGAGAACACCCTGTCGAGGTGGTACCTTGGCTGGCACTCTCTCCCAGCACAGAACTCATGGACAGGCTCAGGACGGGTCATGGCATCACAGTACGTATCATCCACTTCGATCCCATCATAGCGAACACACATAGCATATGTGGACATCACTCCTAGTTTCAAAGAGAATACACACACACAACAGAGGACGCTTGGTGATTTTGACATACAAACTTTTTTTTTTTTTACTTTTTCTTTTTGTGAGCTGCATTTTCCAAAACTTCTTCCTGACGGAAAGCAGCAAGCCAGACTTTCTGGCCCACGGGATGGATGCTGCTGAGAGGGGAGGACCACAGTGGCCACCCAGTCAACATGGGCAACACAGTTGAGTTTGGCCAGCTCCAAAGGTGGGCATGGCCACCCCTGCCAGGGCTTGCCACCAAGATCAATATATGACTAATGCGTTTTTATAGGAAATGCTTGGGGCAACAAGTCTGTTTGGCAGCTCCCCCCGCCTCACAGCCATCAACGCCCACCCTACCAGGCTCATGGTTGGAGGTGACATAAAATGGTCCCCAATCTACTCCATCCACCCACTCTGTCTATATGCATTGCCCCCCCCCCCGACTATGCCCAGTGCATCTGGCAACCTGGGCCAAGGAAGGGATTCTGAGGGCTTTGCAAGGAGGAACCTGCCCCTCCTGCTCCCCATCGAAAGCACAGGCAGCCAGTGTCGTCAGATCGAGACCTTTTCCCCCACAGCCTGCTGAGCCAGAGTAAATCTTGTGAAGTCCATACTGGGACCTGGCTGGGGACCAGGAGGCTGCTCTGGCTACAGGTAACAAGAATTGCAGTTCTCAGGAACATATGGTTTACATGAAACTAAAAAAAAAAGCCTACAGCTCTTGACATGGTATTGCTTCTCTGTGATATGTCATTAAGAAAAGGCAATGAGAAAGGAGAAATGTCAGTAAAACTTCTCTCTGCTTGCTGCAAAGCAGAGCAGAGCAGCTCAGCCTGGTCAAGGGGGAAATTTGTTCAGAGGGGATTAAAGAAGTAAAAAAATGTCCCAGAACACATGGCTGACGAGATCTCGGGGAAAGGGACAGCTTGCGAAGCTCCTGCTGCCAGCACGCACCTGCTGGTCAAGAACAAATGCTTAAAAATTAAAATCCTTGCATGTGCTCTTTTAAGAGATACCCCTTTATTTGCCATTTCCTCTTTCCCCCTTTTTTCCTTCTTTCTAATTCCAGAAGCACCACAGGGTCTGGATTATTTCAGGGATGGTGCCGTTGGGGAGCAATGTGGGCAAGCACACGACCCACATGCAGGCTTCACCCCAAATGATGGGCTGGCAGGGGCCAGGACCCCTAACCAAGGTGTAAAGGAGGAGAGATCAGGCAGCTTCAAGCTTTTCAGAGGGCAAAAATGGGGATTTTAAGCAAAGAGAATACATGCTCAGTTTTGATATCCCTGGCATCTACATCGCTGTTCCAGATTTACATCCTCGCAGCTGAGATCAGGCTCCAGGGTAGAAGGAGTGGGAGAAACAAAACAAAAATCAAAAAAGCCAAATGCTATTTTGTTTCCTGCCAGAGTGAACAATCTTCAAAAATTTCACTCTGTAGGGAAGCAGTTGAGCTTTTCAAACCCCTCTGAATGGTCAAAAAGAAGAGAAAGGAATAAAAAAAAGGAGGTAATATGCTGAGACTCAGCATAGGTTTGGGGATCCTGCGGAGCCCCAGCGTGTCCCCACTGGGCTGGGAAGTGAAGGTGACATTCAGAGCTCCCTGAGGAAGAATATTTTGCAGGATGATGGATACGTTGGACACCAACACGTGTTCCCCCAACAGGCTTGCAAGGTTGGCGGGCTTTGCACAAGCTCCTCTCCCCATATTTGCACCCAAGTGGAACAGATTAGGGGTTGTATTAAACCAACTCCAGAGATCACTGACACACCAGGTCCTTCCCATCCCTAACAGACATAGAAGTGACTCACACACCAGGTGATTTCAGCAGTTGTGCAGAATTTGGCTGCTTCTTATAACTACCTGTGGTACATGTAGAGCTGCAGGGTTCATGGGAGGAAAGCTTCCACCTGTACATGTCAGCAGCACTCACACCTTGGCCCTTTCTTAACAACTTCAATCTGTTTCTAGCGATAAGCAAACAAAAACAAAACAAAACAAACAAACAAAAAACACAAAAAAAAAACAACAAAAAAAAGGCATTTACAAGGCGAGCGGTGACAGGCCACGTCAGACACACACATCTGCCATCAGGCTGCAGTTTGTTTGGGTTCGGGTTTGGGAAGGGATTTGCTTTGTTTGGCAGTTGGGTTTGTTTTTTATGATTTTTTTGAGGGGTTTATTTGTTTTTTTTTAATCAGTTTGGTTTGTTTCACAACATACCTGTCCTGAGCCCCAAGTAGAATCCCCAGCCCGGTTAGAGGCAGAGCTTCCACTGTCTAGAAATAGAGAGAATGGGATAAAAATACCCACAAATAGAAACAGTTCAGAATTTAACAAAGTTTGCATTTTCTGCTCAAATACACCTGGCCCTCGGCATACAGCGATTAAAGGTGCAGTATCTCCTCCCCTGCATCTCCAGGGCTGGGCACACCAACTGGTGCTGCTCAACATGGCAGAGCTTTTGGCTGCTCCAATCTCAGCAGCTCACTCCTTCCAAAAGCCAACACATGGCACAGGAGTTGGTAAACTTGCTTCTCAAAGCACACTTGGCTTTTAAACACCAAGGCATGCCATTTGCCTACCCGCTGCTTTTGCCGCTCTTGTTTTGGGGTTGGGGTTTTTTTGGTTTATTTTAGATAGGTAATTTGCATCTCCCATATCCACGCTGTGCTCCAACACATAATGCCATCAGGAAAGGAGTAACAGAGTCAGCCTGGTGTAAGAAAAAGCATTTTTTCAAAACAAGAATAACAGCTTCTCCCAGTTCAGTGCATCCTACGTGCTGTCAGGTTGTTACACATCAGGGATACTGCACCTTTACAACAAAAGGCTTCAATTCTGTCCTTATACCTTTGTTCAAACCCTTGAAATGGCTACACTGGAATAGTGTACAAGGTTGCCTCCTGACATCCAGTTGTCTCTGGCCTGGCGAGATATGCAGCTTGTATGATTTCTAGGCAGCAGAAGCTCTGAAATTGCCTTATTTAGTTGTTGGTAAGAAAAAGTTGAGGTCCAGTCTATCAAATCAACCTTTAAAAGGACGCTGTTGAGAATCCAGCCATTTCCTCTTGGACCCACCCTCCTTCCACCGCCAGCACTGAGCCTCCAGAAGGATTAAAAACAACAACAATCTCATTTTCCCTGTTGATTTTGCTCTGTCAGTTTGGCAAATGGTCACTTCCTGCATTTGAAATGGAACCAAAATGAATGTGACTTCTTTTTTGCGGAAAAATAACCACTTCAGCTCACTGTAAATAGTGCTTTATCTTGCCAAACCAGCTCTGCCTGGGAACCCACGTCAGCCCCTGATCTGACTGATGTCAATGTGCTGCCTGCTGCCACCCAGCCAGGGGAGGGCTCACAAGATGACAGTTTTCAGTAAGATCCATTAAAATATCATCAACATCTGAGTTTTGTACTTTAATTTGCCTGGAGAACAGGGTATTACCTAGAACCTTCAGTCTATACTCTGCTCTCACAGGCAACAAAAAAATCACCTGTGACTGGGACTCCTCTCCTTTAAAAGGAGAAAATAAGCTCCAAAATAGACTTAATACTACACCTGAGGACAGAAAATCTTTAATGTCCCTTTAATGTATATGATCCTAAATAAAGAGCTGCTTCTATGTATAGCAAGGTTGCAGGGACAAGTGATTTCCAGTTAAATCATAAATTTGGTCATATGGCATAATTTATCATTTACAAGCAATGACAAAACTGTCATTTTGTTGTCTAAATGCAAACAGCAGCACATTGTCCTACAAAGCTGGTGGGGTTTTCCTCCTTTTTTTTTTTTTCTCCTCTTTATTATGAGTTTTATTACAAAGTCGAGTATTTTCTTCCCTGCCTCCACGTTGCTGCTTCTTTTCAAGCAAGCAAATGCACCAAAAATGAGCACCACTCCCAGCTGAGGTCTGGGCTGCCCATCTTCTCAAAACAGTCTCTGTAGCAGAAGAATAATCCTAACACCACAGATCAACATTCAGAGTCCCTGGGTTCACATCTCTCTGTTTTATTGCAGTTTTTATTTTTAAGCAAAAGGGGGAAATTCATGGCTCCTGTTACAGGATCAGCCCTGGCTGCACACCACAGCATGGGCATGGGATGAAGGCCAAAGGGTGCCTGTATCTGCCCTGGCATGCCCATAGAAAGACTTTAACTGCTCCAGGGGAAGAAAAGCATCACTGCATCCCTATCAAGGCACAAGAGCCACTCGCCCATTCCCATGGCAAGGGGGGTTTCTTCCCAGAGAGGAAATGTACCATGCCATGCTGGTGCAAAGTACTTCTGTAACCAGACATCTCCATCCACACTAAGAACTACAACAGTTTAGAGAGAAATAAAGTGCTCCATGTCTAACCAACGCTGTCCCGTGTGTACAGACTGGCTGGTTACAGCCTACAGAGACGATCCTCCTTTGTTTGTTCATTGATAGGGAATGAAAATGAGCAAAAAGCCACTATCCATCCCAAACTGAGCCTGGGAAGGATTTGGGAAGTCTCAAATCCAAGCTCCTGTCCAGAACTAGGCTGACCCCAATGAAACCGGGTCCCACAGGGTCTTGCACAGTCCAGTCCTGCCCATCTCCAAGGATGGGGATCCCTCACCCTGCCCCACACCCGAGGCAATAGTTTTTCCCCTTAGAATCACAGAATCGTTTTGGTTGGAAAAGACCTTTAAGATCATTAAGACCAACCATAAACCCAACACTGCCAAGTCCACCTTCTAAACCATGTCCCTACACACCATGTTTACATGTCTTTTAAATACTTCCAAGGATGGTGACTCCACCACTTCCCCGGGCAGCCTGTTCCAATGCTTGCCAACCCTTTTGGTGAAGAAGTTTTCTCTAATATCCAATCTAAACCTCCCATGGTGCAACTTGGGGCCATTTCCTCTTGTCCTGTTGCCATTTCCTTCAGTGCAGCTTCTGGCTGTCCCCTCCACTGCCCTTCCTGCTGGAGGAACAAGTCCAATCCCCAATGCTCTTCACATGCATCGTGCTTCAGCACTCTGCCCATGACGCATCAAACCCAGTGCTGCGTCCCACTGTCAGTATGGGCTTTATGGGTTGGGTGCCAGTAGGAGCTTCAACCCCAGCCTCAGTGAGGTGAGCTGGAGCTCCTCATCCATTGTTCCCACCCAGGAGATAGAGATTAGTGATTAATGTTACAAATGCTACTGGGCTTAAAGTAATAAATAAGAAGTTGGGGGAAGTAGTAAAGGCTTGGGCAAAAGCAGACTGTCCCAACACAGTCCCTTCTGCCCCATTCCCTCGAAGCAAGGCTTGCCCATCCCTGTGGTGGTGGCAGAACAGCCAGACCCCAAGCCTGCAAACATGCCCATATCTCCCTCCTCCACAAAGGCCCAAACACACAGATGCTCTAATTGACAATGACATTATGGGACTTTTTGAACTGGTGGGGTGGAGAGCAATGCCTCCATAAAGTAGGTAAATTTTCTTGAAATGAGGTGCAGGTGGTTTTGTTGCCTTTATTTTTAATTTTTTTAAAGGC